TCTAAATTCTTTACCTCAAATTCTCTCTATTTATATTATTCACATCTATTAAGATTTTAGGAGATTAGGAAGGAATACTAAAAATTGTAATCTAATGCTATTCAGAAAATACACTAAAACATTATTAGACTATGATTTAAAATTACTTATTAGATATTACATACCATACTTTCTCCAAAGTGTGGCTGAAGCCTGTCATGTTTAGAGAACATTAATGGAAAAGTAACATTTCCTAAAGTAGAAAAAGAAATTCCTTTTGCAATCTACTACTTAAACTGTGTCTCAGCTACATCTGAAGAACAAAAGAAATATCTAGAAGTACATTAAGCACTCTATGCTTCAGAATTAAAATCTGCATTTGCTAAACAAAATAAAGATGTGTGTCAGTTGATTTGGGGGACAAAGACTCCATTTTTATAAAGTTTTATGTTTGACAATATCCCAGTGGAATTAGTCACACAGAATCAGTTGAATTACTCTATTCACTCAGCATGTTACTTCTGAAGCGAGGGAAGGATTTCACAGCCTTTAAAATAAAACCGCTGCTCAACATTACCAGAAAGTTGCGTCATCTCTACCCACCTGCTGAATGCTGTGACCAACAATTAAAAAATCATGCTGTCTGTTCTTTGACATGCAAAAGCACCATTTCCATGGAGAGGAAATACTACTTATATCTCAAAAATCCAGAAGAGTGACACAATGGAGCTTGCATTTAATCTCAATTTGGTCCAAGCACTCCCCATGTCAGCAAGCATGACTGATGAGAATTTATTATCCTATGTTGGCAGCATGCAGTGTTCTGTGGCTCATTTAAAAAAAAAAAAAAAAAAAAAGAAAAGAAAAGAAAAGCACATCTCTAAAATCTAGTGTCTTGGTTTCTGAGGTGGGCTCCTAATAGGCTCTCTAGAGGTACGAACTATGCATCCAGGAGAAATTACCTAAAACATCCTGAACATAACTACAGATTCATTTTATTTAAAGCACCTCTTGGGAGCTGGAGACAAAACTCATGTTTAATACATGTTGAGGAGCATACCAGGACAGACATCTGTCAGTGTATTAATACTAGACTTTTCATGAGCTTTTAAATTCACATTTCTGACCCAGTTTCATTGTATTAAAGAAAATCTATTTCAAGAAAAACTACAATTACAGTTTTCTAATACTGAAGTATTTGGGTGAGTTCAAACAAGCACCACCCAGTTGCTTTGATTAACAGCGTGGCAAATCCCAGCAGGCAAGGAGGAATTTGGAACAGAGAGACACCAGGACTCATGGTCTACTGCTGCCCCTTGAGATTGGGAATGAGGCAAAGCCCAAACTCCTCCAGTTATAAACAGATTAGCTGTACCTCTCCAGTTGTTGGTAGTTTATCCGTGCAATCCTCAGATCAGCAAACTTTATTTACTGTTAGGACTTGCACATCCTCTTCATAAAAAGCAATCTTTTAAATTCCCCTTATCTACTCCAACAGGTAATTTTACTCCTTTTTCAAGTTACATACATTGGCAATTTAGAGAAATCTTCCTATTGCCAACAGAAGGCTATCATGTGAAATTCAATTTTGTTACATGTTGAAGTGAAAACTCAACACAGTGAAATAGCTAGACTTCCTGTATGAACTTAAAATAATAATAAAAAAAAAATCCAAGAATTTAACTTGTCAAAACCAACAATTGGACTCTTTAAAGAGAAGCTGCATGCACATGCACACATGCGTGCCTCACTAGTGACTGGGCTATCAGATCAGGTACATTACCTTTCAGTTTTATTTCTCTTCCCAGTTTAAAACTGATTAAGCTAATTCCAATCAGCATGAAATAAAGGTTACACCAAGGCACAATTTCACTTCCCAGCCTAATGCTATCATTAATTGCACACTCTTAAAACTTCACTTCATGCTGCACTGGTTTTAGTAGATCAGTGCCTAATTGGCATCAGTTCACTCAGTTAACTGACTGGATTTAAATTTGCTGTTATGAATTAATCAGTACTTCTGATACACACGAAATGCATTCAGTTGAGATATAGATTAACCTGTGTTAAAAGTATAATTCAAGGTCATGTTATCTGACTACAATACCTCAGAATTTGCAAAGACGGTTCACAAAAAACGTCCCAAGACTGCTGTCACTGTTGCTGACTGGTTAACACATGCTAAATTACACATGCAAGTGACATGTCTCTGAATATGAATTATGCCCAAAATATCTTTTCTAAGGAAGCAAAGAACTGTGTAACAATAAAACCTTGGTAAACAAAGTGAGATATGTACACCAGAGTTTTGTACATGCTTCATTTCAGCAAAAGCCGAGATGGACCAAATGCTCCTCCCTCAAGCTGATGGGTCTAAAATTCAGGAGGGAGTAGTTAATAAATATGCCTTTTAGAGATTGAGTTCATAGATCTGCTACTTTAAAAAGATTTCAAAATGAGGATCCTACCCATTGCTTAGTGAGTGCACTGTGTTCGCATGTCAAACAACAGCTGTGCACATTCATAAACTCTCACACTGAAAAATATGGACAATTGTTGGGGCCCAGGAATCTCACTCAGAGACTTGGATCACAAAAACAGTGGAAAAGCACTGTATAAATTGAAAGATTATTAACCACAGAGTTGGTCCTAACATGGGCAGGGCATAGTCCTCAAAGTTCGAATATTGCACAAAAACTGCTTTGGATGTTCTTCCAACAAGAGATGCACTGCAACACAGCAACAATAACAAAAATTGACACAAAGGATAACATTAGCTGGTCAATTAATCAAAACACCATAGGAAGAAAAACCGAGTCCATTTTCAGTAAACTGTTATCTACAAAGCAACTGCACGATACTAATTGCACAACAACAGACTTTGCAGATCTTTTATTTGCACAACATACTTGGACACAACAGCCAGCTTTACTCTAAATCCCTCTGTTTTGCTATATGGGCAGCATCAGATTCAAAACAAAGAAGCACAACAGTCACCCTGTACTAAAAAGTCTTAATCAGCATCCTAAGTCAGCTTGTTTGTGCAGCTGGAACTTACTGGTAAATGCAGAGCTTAGAAAACAAGCTCTCGTGAAGAAGGACAGAGCTAAAACAAAGAATTAATAGCCACAACAAAAGATGTTGCAAAGTAATCCAATTCATTACTCTCACAGCTCCACTGAACACATGGAAAGGAAAAGCATTTACCACTGGAAAGCAGACATTTAAAATCAGTATTAAAACTGCAAAACAAAGTAGAATGACATAACTTTAAAAACTAAAAGAAAGATACTACAAGTATGAGAAGACTTTCAGAATAGGTAACTGTCTGTCATTTGTGATATGAACAGGAACAAGATCCTATTAAACAGTGATACAGACTTAATGCCTTTTCTGGTCCCAGAGAAGCTCCAATTTTTTTCCCCAAATCACTTTTTGTCAGAATTTCCAATTACTTACAACTGAGCTAACAGGATGGCTAAAAACTGTACTCAGGCCCTGGTTCAATCAATAGTTCAGACCAAAGAAAGAAAATACATTTTTCATTCTTCATATTATCTGGTACTACTCAATTGTTTCACTCTGATATAGTGGCATGGAATGGTATCGTAGAATCACAGAATGTTTTGGGTTGGAAGGGACCTCAAAGATCATCCAGTTCCAACCCCCCTGCCATGGGCAGGGACACCCTCCACTACACCAGGTTGCCCAAAGCCTCATCCAACCTGGCCTTGAACACTTCCAGGGATGGGGCAGCCACAACTCCTCTGGGTAACCTGTGCCAGTGCCTCACCACCCTCACAGTGAAGAATTTCTTTCTTAGATCTAATCTAAATCTGCCCTCTTTCAGTATAAATTCATTGCCCCTTGTACTATCACTACACGCCCTTGTAAAAAGTCCCTCTCCAGCTTTCCTGTAGGCCCCCTTTAAGTACTGGAAGGCTGCAATAAGATCACCCTGGAACCTTCTCTTCTCCAGGCTGAACAGCTCCAACTCTCTCAGCCTGTCTGCACAGGAGAGGTGCTCCATCCCTCGGATCATCTTTGCTTCCCCCCTCTGGACTCGCTCCAGCAGCTCCATGTCCTTCTCATGTTGGGGACTCCAGAGCTGAACACAGTATTCCAAGTGGGGTCTCATGAGAGCAGACCAGAGAGGGCAGAATCACCTCCCTCAACCTGCTGGCTACGTTTCTTTTGATGCAGCCCAGGACACGGTTGGCTTTCTGGGCTGCAAGCACACGTTGCTGGCTCATGTTAAGCTTATCAACCAGTACTCCCAAGCCCTTCTCCTCAGGGCTGCTCTCAATCCATTCTCCGCCCAGCCTGTACTTGTGCTTCAGATTGCCCCGACCCACACGCAGGACCTTGCACTTGGCCTTGCTGAACTTCATGAGGTTCTCACAGGCCCACCTCTCCAGCCTGTCAAGGTCCCTCTGGATGGCATCCCTTCCCTCCAGTGTGTCCACAACACAACACAGCTTGGTGTTATCAGCAAACTTGCTGAGGGTGTCATCACCAAACTTGCTGCATATTTTCTTAGCTAAGCGTTGATGACACATGTGCTCTGATAGCAAGTTCCTGGTGTCATTGACCTAAGTTTTAATTATTTTCCAGCTCGTCGTAGAATTTTTTTCAGCCTGTGAACTACTACACAGATAACTCATTTCTTTTTCCACAGTTATAATAAAGCACATAATTTGTGATTAGAGTGCTTGCATTAATATGCAGGAGAGAAACATTCCATGCTTTCCATAATTTCTAAGTAATTTAGGGCAACCTACCTCATATCCATGACTATGTAAACTAGAGTCAGCTGTCTTGGTTATTTAGATCACAGGACTAGTGTTAGAATTGAAGAGTTGCTTTAATATGACACGTTTTCACTGTAACAGTGCTTGAAACAGGGCTGTATTTTAATTACATCATAAATATATGACTTACGATTTCAACCAAGTTACTATTCACAGCTAGAAATATTTCTCAAATAAGAGAACCTTTTTGCAGACAAATTTGCACCTTACCTTGTGAAAGGCACTGATTTGCCAGAGCAACCTGTCCAGAGTGTAGATACAGATTAAGACGTGTGAAGATACTGCTCAGAGATGGAATTGTAATGAAGCAGAAGGCAACGCAAGCCTAAAACAAATAGAAAAATGAAACTGAACAAAATTCTTAACTCAGAGTTACAGCAATCATTACTGATTATATTTATAGACGATTAGGCATCAAAATCTGTAAATCAGTTTTGAGAAAGTCTTTCAATAAAAAGTGAATATTATGTCAAGTTCAAAATCAGTATCTTCAAATTTCCAATTATTATTACAATAATTATAACAATATTAATTATTGTTATTATGAGTAGATAAACTCAAAACTTACTCTATGACTCTAGTTTAGAGTTATTCCCTCCTCAAGTAACCAGCTTGCAGCTCAAAATCTAACTAGAAAAGCAGACTACTGGTCCTCAGGGACAATCCATCTGTCAAACTGGTCAAAGCAAGGGCATCATGCATATTTGGGAGAAAGCAGATCCAGTGCGGCACGCTGCAGCTTTACACCTACTGGAGCAGCCCAAACACCAAGATGGAGCAAGTGACTCCCAGGCATATAGAAGCTGGCCAGTGTCACCTCATCTATCCTTTGTTCAGCATATCACGCACAGCTGCCGTGAACAAAAATCCATGAATTAACGGTAGCATGTGCCAACTCCTTCACAACAGATGAAGATGAAGACATCTTATTTGCTACGTTTCAGATGAGAAGAGGGGAACACCAGAACTTGTGCAGCCTGCGCAGAGTTCAAAGCTCATTTGACCATATCTATATAGATTCAGAGGCTTTATGCTGAAATCAGTGTTTGAATTTCAAATATCAACACTGATACGCGACACAAGTTTAAATATATTCCTTTTCCCCATCTCCTATTTTCTATGATTGAGCTGTAGAAATTATTTTATTTCAAATATAATTTGAAAATTTTTCTAGAATTCAAACAAACACCTCTCTACTGGATTTTCCTTTGGAGAGGGAGTCAATCTTGCTTCTCTTTTTTAACACAAGGCTGTTATTATCTGCTTTGGGTTCGTCTTTTCTTAGCAGCATTTGGCTTTAGAGAGTAAAGATCAATGGTAACAAGAGAAAACGAGACTACAAACAGTGTCAAAAATACTAACGTTGTTTTTGCAAAAATTATAAACGTGGGTGGCAGCAGATAATACTATCTGCTAAGGCAGATTCAAAGTTTGTTAGAGTCAGACTTACCCTGACAAATGCAGCAGTCTTCCTGGAATGATTTCCTTTCATCACCTTTCTTGTTTCCATTGCTAGTTGGTTCACAGACTACATATAAAAACCAAAAGCAAATAACTACGCAAAATGCACAGATTTATTAGGTTAGCAAAAAGTAACAAACTGCACGTTTTACTGCATGCATTTAGAGAACAGAAACTGCCAAAAGGGAACCTGATACGATGTGCCCTCACTGTATTATTTAGTTTTCACTTTAAGAATTGTAGTGACTGCTCCTGAAAGCAAATACAATTCTGAACGTTTGTAAAGGTAGACTTGTTGAATTATTCAAGGCTTTAGACAATCTCTTGCTTCCCAGCTATAGTCATCACTTCCTTCCTGGCATAATAATAATGATTTCTAGCTAACATACTTATTAAAAAAAAAATAAATCCAAACGAATAATAAAAGGATATAAAAGAAGATACAATGTTGCAAAAGAATCAGATGCAGCTATTGCTCACCTGACACATCACTCAATACAGAAAAGAGATTAACCTTCCCAGTCACAGCAGGACTCTGCCTGTATCTGCAGTTAGACACAGCCTGATCTCTCCTAGATGGAGGATTACAGAAGAAAGAACCCAAATTCTGAATGCACAAAAGTGCCATTTATGTTATTAGACATGAAATCTCTTGCAGGATAGTTGCAATGATACCATGCATGCCTGTCAAGCAAGAACTTCAGAGAGTCTGCAGTGATGAGAGATGAGATCAAAGTCTACTTTAGAAACACCTGATAAAAAGACTTCAGACTTATTTTGACATAGACCAATAATCTGGGCAGGGAATGGGAGAACCACAAATATATCCTCACTCATTAAGATAAGGTAGATAAGCTGTAGCTTACATGGATCAGCTGGACTAGAACAGGCTCCAGATTGCAAAACATTGACCTGGCTTCAACGTAAAAACTCAGCTGTTGTTCGAAGTCACGGCCAAACGAAACCTGTAAAAAACAAAAAACTCCTAGATTTTACCATCGTAGGCCATTAACTTTAAGAAATACAAAACTGCATGCAGACAAACCCCGGATATTCAAAAGTCAAAATCCCCATATACTGATAAGAAAAAACCCCACCATTAACAACAAAATATCACCTGGAGAATCTCTATCCTTTTAACTGTCTGCTTTCCAATACTTAACCTTCAGGGAAAATTGAAGGTTTTGCTGGCGTTTTTTTTGTCCACACTCCACATGTTGTTCTACTTTACAGATCAAGTATTTACCAAGAAAACAAAATTTAAATCCTAAATTTAAAATTTGTGAAATGTTTTCAAAACCAGCAGAACTTTTGATTCTTTACAGAACAGGGACAAGGGTTTGGTATAGTTCATACTTAAAAAGGCAACACAAAAAAACCCCAGAAAAATAGAAATAGATCAGTGAATCTGTATCCAGATTCCTGCAATTTCTAGTTGCTAAAGGGCCTCCAAGAGAAATTAACATTTTCCTAACTTGATATACCAGTAAGAAAAGCAGGTTTTCCTCCAGTTTGGTTAATAAATATATGCTTACATAGGATGGCAAAAGCCTGCCAACCTTGCATGCTGGCAGGAAAGAAGCTAAAAACAACCCTTGTGTGAGAACACCCTACTTCCAACCCTCCAGATTTTAAAAAACCAAGTGCTGTCAGCTGGAGTGTCTCAGCTGTCAATTAAAAGCCTAGCAAGAGAAACAGTCTCCAGGCAGTCTACATTTATGTATTCAAGTGGAATCTTTTTCTAATAGAAGTAAAGGTTGCATTATTTAATATTTCTCAAGCCACACATGAAAAAAGTTTTTACAGAATTAAAATAAAAATTACTTTAATCCGTACAGTGAAAGATGAAAGGAACTGCACCAGAAAAAAAAGGATTGCTTCTTACATTACAAACTGTCTCTGACTTTCCTCTATTTATGCAACTGCTGATTCTTAAGTCCTAGTCTCAAGAAAGCTTCTCTAAAAATATGAAATTTTCCACAAAAAAGCCTGACTGTAAGGATGACTGTTAAAACTGCTTTTCCCTCCACATCTTAATGTGAGCTGGTTTAAAATTTCTAACTAATCATTTTGCTGCTATGGGATTTTTTTTTTCCTCCTCAAACAAGACTATAAAGCCACATCAAATATTATTCAATGTGAGAAATCCTCCTAAAGGGAAATTATACAATATTATACTGCATATAAAGTTTAATAAAGCAAAATTATATTAGAAACATATTAAATAGCAAATTATTATAGCTGAAGAGAAAGCAACCGTCTAGAGATAAATTCTTAGAATTGCAACAAAGAACAAAGAGGACAAGTAGAGATAAAGTCTGTCAGTTCTGACTATGTGAAAGAGAAGCCAAGCATTGAGAGTACCTGGTTAGAGAATAAAATAAAGCTTGAGAACACTTCCCTGAAACAATCCGACATCTCAAACACAACAGACAAGAACAAGAGATTTTACTGGGATAAGAGGGAGGGAAAGGTTAAAAAGTAATTTCAAGACAAAACAACTGGAGTTGTTGTGGCACTACTAATTTGAGGACACAAATTATCTTATTTTTAAATTAAAATAAACAGAGATAAGTATACAAGTTATATTTATTTTGTGATTTTTAAAGCTGGTATTGGTTCCATTTAGAGCTGGGTAGTGGAACTTCGTTCACATAAATTGGTGACCTCTCTGATGCTATAATAGGCAAGAATTTAATTGCTGTTTAACTTTTAAATACTTAACATGTTTTACATGGCATTTAAAAAACTAGCAGAAAATATGATTCAATAAACAACGTGCACTTTAAACTCTCATATTGCACCGTGTCAATTTCAACACTATATGATATTTCTTTCAATACATGCATACTTTTTCCACTAAAATACACTGGTTGGGGTTTTCAACGGTCTTAAACAAGTCAGACACACAGTCTCTGATTCAGCTACATAAGCACCTGTTTTTCATGGGGATCTCAAGAAAATCCGAGCTGTTAGGTACATCCCAGCAGTTGCGCACAATTGTCACTCACCATTTTTATGAATCCATTTATCAATGCTGCTAACATTCTTTTCTCATCCTCAAGTGTTAGTGCACTATAAGAGAAAATTTATATAGTAAATTTTAGAATATTGCTTATCTTATTTGTCTGTAAAGGTTCAAATGATACATACTAATTTATATAATGTTATGTCCATGCAAAATATTTATTATACACTAAGCTCATAATTTTAGTTATAAAGCAATAAAACCAATTTTAATGAGTATCGCCAAGTCAACCATACACCAAACTAAATTTCAAATTAAAAAAAAAAACAAACAACAAAAAACAATTGCCAAGAGTGTCTTTAGATTTTACAGAAACTCAGATTTTGGCATGAGGAGAAGGAAGCTAAGCTAATGTTCTTTACCGCAGCAAACTTGAGAAGTTGAGTAGGAACTGATTATAAAAACCTAAAGAAATTAGTAAATCTATTCTTAGAAGAAAGTTACCCTGTTTAAGAAGAAAAGCTTTCAAAACACACTTTAAATAGTATAGGTAATAATTCATGTATTTATATTAGAAACGGTATTAGTTTATTGTTTTGTTTATGTTTTTATTGGGGGAGGGTTTTTTTTAACTAATGCTGCCACATAATTTAAAAAAGAATTAACATCACCTTGTTACAGCACTTAGATGTTTTAGTAAGAACTGAACTAAACTGGCATGTAAAAAGAGTTTCTTTTCAAGCTTATCACAGATACCTATTCTATAGCGAGAGTCCAAATCTGATTTGAAACAAATTTACATCACATGAAAACCCAGTAAATCAAACCTGTTTCACTGAAAATGGATGAACAAAAAGTTAAATTACAATTAACTAATACAATTTAATCCTTTTACTATTATATACTTGGCTCCAGCTTTGACCTTTAGTGTATCAGTTACCAATTTCCTAGCAGACACCAGATGGGAAGAGAACAATAGTTTTATTATACAAATTCAGTAAAGAAGGAAAGAAAATCTCAGCATGATTAGCTCATTAGTGCATTGCCAATCAAAAGAGTCAACTGATGGGCTCTGAAAGGCTCAGAAGACTTGTAATGAGATCTGCGGGTCAGTTATAGGTTTCCAGTTCAATTCTGAATCAGACCCCTACTAGTCCAAAGGCTGTTATCCTCCAACAGCTGTTACGGGGGTCAGTGAGCCCTACACAATAGGCTGGGAGTTCCTGAACCAGGATGTAAAAACAGATGCAGGAGTTACTTTAAGATAGTTAGAATTTATGATGATTTGCCAGTAAGAGATGACACAACAGAACCAAGCTAACGATGTACACCACCTTATCTCAGCTAAAAGAACTGCTGATTTAAGGGATTTTAAGAATCCCTGTAAACTATAAAATTGCTTTGGCAAAACATCAGAAGCACCAAACATGGATTGCCATAAACACCTTAATTTTTTTTAATAAGCTGTTTTAGCTTCAATATACTGTTCTATTTAAAGGCTGAAGTGGCTTTTAGTGCAACGTACAGCCAAATAAGGTGCTCTAACCCAAAATAAAGCACTCTAGCTGGTATAAATTGGAATTACATGCCAAATCTGACTTCTTTATTGGCAATAAATCTTGCATTCATTACATATCAAGGCTAAGAAAGTTACAAGTTCCTTTACAGGATCTGCCATAGATCTGGGCTCAGTGCCAAAAGAAACTGTGCCCTTACAATACTACTCAACCCAAAGCAGAAGAAAAAAGGAGATTTTTTGCTCTTAAGATCTAGAATTTGCAGCATTGTGATTCTGGCTCTTTTTCCCATCAGATACAGGCTTCCGTGTGACTTTCGCAAGTTACCTGCAAAGCACAACTGTTTTCCATATTGCACAACTGCTACTCAAACTGGGGGTGCAACAGGGCACCCAGGATCCCTCACAACCTCAGCACTCAAAGTCAAGGGCAAAGAAGAGGAGGATTTGGGGGAAAGACATAGATGTTTCAAGAGCTTCTCCTACTCAAGTTCCTACAGGTTTTCCGGGTGTCCTCTTAAAAATTCCATATTCCTTTGTAACGGCTGACAAAGTCACCCAAAAAAAGGTATAATTGAGTATGGCAACTGTGCTTTAATAGCTACATATTCACTTAAAAGTCAAAAATTGTTTATTATTCACTATAACTCAAAGATCACATCGGTTTCACTCTCAAAAATATTTTTAAAAGACTGGATCGTTTAGTGTCTCTGCTTGACTAGAAAACTCTACAAAACTGTTGCTACTTTCCTTTCAAAATTTTGCGTCAGTGTTCAAAATAAAGCTGTAATTAAAGAGCAAACGGTACATGCTGCCACTTCATTGCACAGCTCTTCCCTCACCACTAATTGGATTCATGTCTTAATCCGCCATAAAACAAACAGCCTCAGAAATGTGAAATTGTACACCAAGCAGGCAAACTTTGTGTAAATGATAGCTACTAGTATGACTAAAATTAATCTTACTTCACAGAATCGTGCATCGTCTTGCAGATATGCAGAAGAGCATTGAGTATAACAGGATCCTTTGTAGACTCCTGCTGATGCCTATAAAATATTGTAAAATATCAGCATTATATGACACTACAGAAGTTTTATATTCATTTTTTAACCAACAGAACTCCAAAGACCACATGGTTAATAAACGTACAATTCCAACAAATGCCAGTCAAGAAATATTATCTTAATACCTCGAGCTTTACTGCCAAGCCACAGAATTTGACTCCTTAAGGGACACAACAAGATAGACATGTGATTCACTAAGGCAATCTAAGAACATCAAACCAAAGCAATCCTAAATCTACCAAGTAACACAGTTTCTCAGCTAGTGACGGACAGACAGGAAGGATAAATGTCACGTTTAGGTACAGAGGCACACGTGCAGTGGAACACCACTAAGATGATTAAGGGGCTGCAGCATCACTCATATGAGCAAAGGCCAAGAGAGCTGGGACTGTTTATCCTAGAGAAGAGAAGGCTTGTGGGGGCTTAGCAGTGTCTATAAATAACTGAAGGGAAAGTGAAAAAAACGTTTCAAGGAACTTGTTAATTATTTGCAAAGAAAAGGACTTTGACGTTTACAATATTTGAAGATGAAGCCTTGTCTTCCAAGATAATTTTCAACTGTGGAAATACCCATTTTTCTACATAATGGAGCTTGTAACAAGAGACTGTCTCTCTTCCTCCATTATACCAAGGTAACAGTTCTGTGCTGTCACATCAGCTGGAATACGGAATAAACATCATGAACCAACTAAGGCAACATAAATTAAAAAAGCTCAGAGAACAATTATTCCATTAATCCACAGCAAGTCAACGTCAATACAACCACTTCAATTCCAACTTTCTTTGTGAACAGTTAAACAGTCAATCAATACATTAACAAAATTGAAACATTTTCATTTTTTCTCCCACAGCCTGGAACACCTTCACAAGCTCAGTGGCCTATATCCTTGCCCATTTTCCCTAGCAATCTTTCAATACATTCCTCAGACCCTCCAGAGTGCATTTCATCTCAATATTCTCCACTTACTTAATAAAAGATTCCATAATGCACTTGCAAACCTCCACTCTCACACTTTCCTTCTGGAACATATCCAGAAATGGCAAGAATTTCTCCTGAAAGTACAAATACGTAAACAAGTAGAATTAGGCATTTTACAAACACCACACTAAAACAATAAACATTTTGGCTAGGTTTTATAATAATAGCTGTTTTATTTAAAATTACTTTAATCTGTTTTGAAGACAGCAATTGATCTTGAAGGATGAAAGAGTGAAACAAATGGAAAAGCACCAATGGCTGAAAGATTTATTAATTTGTTGATTGCAGAAAGCCAGAATAAAACACAAACCACGGAACTGTTTGAATCAAATGTTGCAAATATTTCAGAAGCAATCATATTCTTGAAACAGCTTAAGATCATGACAAATTCAGACATCTATGGGAACAAAAGGTAGGATATTTCAAAAAAATGAAAATAGGCCACAGGCCAGCAACCATTTTGCATGCAGCCAGGGCAATTTATAAAGGTCCAAGACATTCAAATTTTCTTCAAAGATAAAGGTTTAGGTTGTTAAGATTCTGAGATACTTAGTTTCTGTGTCATCTCAAAAATATAGTGAGGGTAAGTGTTTCAGAATTAAGTGAGCAATTTGTGAACAAGACTTGACTCCAATTCTACAGGGTCAGAGTCAGTCTTGAATTTTGCTCTTCAACTGGTTTCAGTTCTTTGACACCTGCTGTCTTTGTTCTTTCTCTACCTCATACACAGTCTCTGACCTCTCTAAGTTTCACCTTGTTTCAATGCCAAACTTAAGCCCTATGAGAGATCACATTAAGTACATATCATACCACAGAAACAGCTATCAGCAATTACACAAACACACAGAGAAATAAATAGTATCTTATCTTCCCTTGATTGTCCCTTATGCCATAGTAATAAACTTAAAAAATCTAACAGCTTAAGGAAAAAAAAAAGTATCAAAAATTGGAATTAGAATAATGAATATTTAAGTAGTAAGCAGCAGAGAGCTTCCAAAACATTTCTGCACTTATTTACTTGACAAAAGTCCTCTTACTATGTGAGTTTGTAAACAATCTAAATATCCAAATCAGGTAAATTCTCTTATAGAAACAGTGCAGTTCTTCTTAAAAATTTATTAAACACTTACCACTGAAAAAAGCAGAGAGAAGTCAAAGATATAGGTGATAACTTTCTGAATAATTGACTGCAGCTGAGGCGGAAAAAAAGAAAAAAAAAGAAAATGATTGTAATGCAAGTTAAATTAAGGTTATCCACACCAGAGATTATTCTTCCCTAGTTATTCACAGAAAACTGGCTTGGAAGACACTTCAAGCATTCATCGATGTAACTTCTTTCCCCAAATCAGCATCGACTAAAGATATGCTAACAGATGTTTTTCCAACATGCTTTTCAGAACTCATATGCACAGAGGCTGACCAGTCTGCCCAGGCCTTATTTGTTCTTTACTTTTTATAGCTAGACAGAGTTTTCTGATTTATAGTCTGCATGTCCTCCAGCCATCTCGACCAAAAAAACCAAACACTCAAATAAACAAACAAAAAAACCCAAATCAGTTTGTTAAATCTTCTTTTGTAAGCACTTTATCTACCCTCCAAGTAACCATAAAAACCTTCTTCTAAAACCAATTCAACTAATCCATATCTCACCTGGCATGCAGTATCAAGAATTGGACACAATAATTCACCGAAGCCTTAACAATGCCAAGTAGAGATGGATTGTTTTATGGTTTCCTTCTGTTTAACCAGCCTGCCACGACTGCTACTTTTCTTCTGCAAAACACCACTGTTGATGTAGGAGTTAACTACTCCCACTTCTAAATACATAAATCATTCTGGTTTAGCATTTCTCTGAAGTGAAAGATTGATGTGCAGAGAAAAATGGAGGAACAAACCACAGTACTGTTCCAAAAGGCTTCCCAAATTCTAGCCAGTGTTTAAAAATCATTATTTCGTGGTAAGAGACATCAGTAATGTTTAAGAATTAATTTCATCTATGAAAATACACATCAGATTTTTACAGATTTGGCAAAATAAACTCTTTACCTGTGGGTAAGCATCTTCAAATGCTCGATCAGGAGTCATGTGTTTGATAACATCAGCCAAAACTGTATTGACTTCTCGCTTCTGCGTAGCCAAAAATGAGGTTACAAAATACAGTAATGAAATCAGCACATAAATCAAGTCACTGAAAACCAGTTGGATAATTTATTTCCATTTGCCAAAGCATCAGCTTTCTACGGAGCTCTAGTTAAGCCAGGAACTTTGGCCATAGCTCTAGTAAATCCTTACTTAAACTGGTCCATCTGCCATTAAAATGAAAGGATAAAAAATACGCAGTGCTGAGGAGTGGTGAAGACTCCTTCAAAGCTGCATCTTTTGTCTCTGTTCATCTTTCATGAAAGGAAATACATTTTTTTATTCACTACTAAAGTCCTACACCCTTATATTGAATAGTCATAGCTTTTCCATTTTTAATACCAAACTGCTAATATAGTGTCTTAGTCTGTTTCAGAAAATCTTCAAAGGAAACAAAATAATTTTCACATACCGTAAAATGTCTGCATGTATACTCCACCCACACTTCAGCACAGTTGATGTAATCCTAGAAATACATGTCTTATGATCACCAGTATTTACAGGATGTTAATAGAAATACGCTTGCAAAAATTACAGTTAAAAGAACTAACTCCTGAGGTCCAATTCATGCAGACCTGGAGATCTAGCACTAATGACAAACCTCAAAAGTTGCTTATGTAGAATCATGTTACACAGAATTAAGTTAGAGTTAAGGAGAGCTCAGAAAAGCAGGGACCATACAAAGATGTTACCAGGCATCCTATTTTTTGGCAACTGTGCGTATCTAGAAAACGTAAACCATGTCATGCTAAGCATATGCTTACCGAACAACTGACTACAGTTTTACCCTAAACACAGAATCAGTAGTGAAACAGAATGGATAATAATTCACCTGTGGGTTCTTTAGCTTTGTTATAACTTTCCAGGCTTCATTTAATATTTGAAGGCGATCATTTTCAGGAGGATCAGCCAATGCCAAGTTTAATCCCAAGGAGCGAAAGAGGAGATGCTGAAAGTTAATGAGAAATTTTAAATTAATAGCAGAAGATGCACGTCTATCTAACACTGCTCTAGCAGGTACACTGTGCAGAAAGATTTTTTTTTGCATCAAACCACTTTTTATTTAAATGATGTGCAAGTTATGTAGGCAATTAAGAGTATAAATAATTCTATCAGACAAGGAACAGGAATTGTTACAAATCACACACAAAGATTTACCTTTGGGAATCCAGATTCATCACACTCTTTAATCATGCCAATGAAGTCCATAGATCTTGTAGCAATAAACTCTGCTCTGAATGCCGACATCACTGAATTCAACAGCAAAGCGCTGCAATGGACATAACGCAAATCAATTCAGCTCAACATCAACTAGAATTCTGTTGTCCCTTCATTTACATTCAACTGAACTTCTTAGACTAACAACTGTCCAGCATTTATTCTAAATTTTGAAAAAGGGGATAAGGAACGAAAAACACTCACAAATTGAGCTTGCATTGATGAGTATTAATAGTGCATAAGCAAAACAAGAAAACATTAAGATAAGGAAAACATAACCCAGCCTGCAGCATACTTATTCCACATAGGTTTTTTATGAAGCCATCATTTTACCAGAAGCTTACTAGAAAGATCAAGTAAAGCAGGAGTAGCTGACACATTTAGAAACAGTCATTTTAACCACAGATCAGAAGTATACTTTGGTAGGGCAAATCTCTCTTGAAGAAGTTTTTCCTCACAGAATTAAAATACATATGCATTACAAAAGTCAGATTTCTAGCAGCTGCATTGTTAGCATTAAAAGAAATCCAAACAGTCATTATGATATGATAACTGGCAATGGCATATTTAGACATCTATGATTAATCATTCAGACACATATTTGTATCATTATCAAGCCAAAGTTACTGATGGAAGAGTGAACTCATTGTGTTACTGTAAAACTCAGTTTATTGAGACTATTATGCAAACATAAGAACCAAAATGCAGTATTATTCAAAAGGCAATTCCTTTGGGCAAACTCAGCCATGAGTTAGCACAGAAGCTGCCTCATAAAACACTGTGTCCTTCGCTAGTCTGAAACAGGCAGTTTGAAAACAGAGCAGTTTACCTTGAGGGAAATTCTATAGAGTGCTTAAAATAGCCCACTATCCTCTGTGTTTCTGACTGAGCATTAGTGGTCCCATTGCAATTCGACTGGAATTTGCATTTTATCCTTACACAAGTACTTCCAGTTCACTAGGCATATGCTTTGCAACACAGAGAAACAGGCTGTCACTTTTCACTTAGGTGGTTGCAACATAGTTCATGGAACATACTGAGATTATTTAAAGATTTATATACTGATGCCTCTTGCCTTGTAATATTTTGACAGTCATGAGAAGACATAAAAACATAGCTCCACTTTAAAGGAAAATTACCATGCTTTATAGATCATCTAAACTGGATTATTCAATTTCTCAATAAAAAAAGACATGTCCCAAAAAAATGTCTTAAAAAAAAAGCCTCATTATACTTAACATTTTGTCCTTTCTTCAAAGAGCAAACAAGCATAAGGAAGAGGCATCTAGCCCATCTCTACAAGAAATACTAAAAGGTGATTTAAAAATAAGTCCCACAAAGCAAATCAACACCTATACAAAATAATCAATACAGCAAAGTATGTGGATTATTTTTACCCATATTATACACTCTGATACAACAACATCTTCGCATCACATTTTTAAAAATCACACTTTTCCTGCACTCTTTAGCTCAGTCACAGAATGCTAATGCTGGCATTCCTAATCTAAGTGACTAAGGTATTTTAGTTCCTCAGTCACTGCAGAAGTGGACTGTGCAAAGCCCATCAGAAAAAAAAAAAAAATAGGTAGCTGAAAACCATCACAGAACTCAGCCTACCTACCCAATAAAATGAACTGAGATTAGCTCATCAGCAGGCCAAATTGCATTCACACAGCTGAGAAAGTACATCCAAAACTTTCAGACCATCTTGCTCAACTGCTTACTGAAGGTGATTAGTCTGCACACAGACTCGTAGGAGACATTTGGTATACTAATTTTCATGTTGAAAAAAGCTGTCACCTAAATATTACCATCTTGCAAAGGGGTCAGCTGCTTTACAACTTCCGTTGCAAAACACGTGTATGGGCTGACCATAGCCAGTGGAGGCTAAGGGGAAGGAAGGGTGAGGAAAACAGGAAAATGAAGCACAACCAGGAATCGGAGACATGGCTGATGGGGAACACATTATATGTCCTGAACTTTGGCTTAGGAGCCAAAATGCAGCAACCAAGTTAAATTAATTAACTTTTGCTCTACGAGTAATCTACCATATTTTAGAATTCCTCTCTGGAAAACAGATGTTCACAATCACAACTTCGTAAGCCACTGGGAGAACAAAAGCTATACTATGCATCCAAAAATTTTTTCAAAAGGGAGAGAGAGGACTATATTACAGGGACTCACGGGTGCTCATTACAGACTCATGTGTTCTACATTGTGCAATACTTACTTGTTCCCCAATTTTTTGCATCTTTCCATCATCTCAGTAAGCAGAACCTGGAAGAATCACTTATTAAAATTAGTGAGTAGAGATTCTGCAAATAAATTCAGCTTTAATTACTGTAGTGAAGTCTACTAAAACCTGTTTTAATTACCTACCCAATACATTCCAATAATCCTATCTTATTCTGTATTTACAACACAAGTAGTACAACATAAAACACACCTACTGGAATAGATACAGTGGCATTTCAATCAAAACCACCATTTTATGGAAGTCAAATTTGCAATCCTTCAAGCCAATGCCACTTCTCAGAATAATTTGCCAGTCAGGTCAATTAACCCTGGCAGGAGAGGTGAAGATTACCAATTCTCTGCCACAGAACACGAAATAGACTGACTGAGATTAAAATAGCCTGTTGATCATGTTAAGCAATTACAAAGCTACAGTTTACTCAAATTGTTTTTATATATGCATGACAGAAGGATGTAATGAATTCAGGAAACAAAGATTAAACTAGCTAAAGGCCAGCAAGAAACAAACAGGAACACTGCCTATGATTTTAAAGCGGTCTAACTTGAGGTTTGTGGAAATGAACATTCTTCCTGTACAGAAGAGAGAAACAGACAGTCATATCTAGGCTCTTGCTTTCACACTCATGTAAATACTGATTTAGGGGTTTTTTTGATAGGCAAAATTAACTCTTCACCCTAGCACTTCCTTTAATATTGAGCATTACCACATTTACTTACTTCAGGAGCACGGTATGCAATACACTGTAAAATCCAGTCTATAGCAGGAGAATATAGAGTCAAATACAAAGGAATCTCCACACATTGTACTACCAGCTGATTCTGAACCGTATCCCCATGAATCTGTTCAAATAAAAGACAAAAACATGTTGCTGTGAAAAGGTATTTAACAGGAACTATGATAAACTGGACAAAGTTCGTGTATGAATGGAAACGATAACAGACAAGATTACAAAGATACACAGATATTCTGAAGCATTCCTTGCATGCTGGGGAAGAAAATATCAAGCTCATAACATACAAGTATGGAAACATGCTGAATAGAGTAGTTTCAACTTATCAGAATGTAAAATTTCCATACTATATCTGGGTACCGGAACATCCCTAAATCTAGATTTAAGAACTTCAAAGATTTTTTAAAAGTATGTAGTAGTTTGGTTAAGGAGTGTATTTATGTGATTTTGTGAACAAAAACCCTATTTGCTTACTTGTTTAAATGTTAGAAGAAAGTCAAAGAAATTTTTGTTAAGGCTTTCTTTGAGTTGTGGTGCCACTTCCATCCCAACCTGTATTAAAAGAAAGAGAAAGATTTTTATCTCCATCTATCAAATACGATTCTGCTTCAACTGAAGACAAAAATGCTTTTTCCGGAGGAGTACACCTAGTCACACACATCAAACCTACCAACAGAATTGAATCATTTTGACTGATTATTTCCTGGCTTACTATTACAGTCATGTCCACTAACAACTACCCTCAGGTAGTTACAGCTGTGTTTAAATATGGCTCTCCTAACACCAGCTCCAAGTATGTGTAAGCAGTGAGGAAATCAATGTCTACCCTATTACCTGCACTGCAACAGTCTATATTCATTGTACGGAGAAAGCCTACAGCAAAGAACTTTTTAAAAGTCAGTCAAAGTTCAGAAATAGCTTTAAATCATGTGTATTTATTCTGCGAACAGAATGGAGCAAGGATCCCAAAGGAAAATATGAACACACAGATACAGGTAAAAGATTGATAAATAACACAAGGTGATGCACAAACACAAGGCCTATATAGTAAAGGCCGGAGTTGCAAAGGAAACTAATCCATACAGGACTGTTTTCAATACCACAGATAAAAAATATCAAAAAATAAATGTGACATGTTACTAAAGAAAAGGGAAAGATGCAGAAGTGAATGAGAAGTTAGTTGGCTTAAAAAAAATACACAAACAAATCCATCTCAACAGTTTAAGGTTCCCCTCTTCTAACAAACCCAGGGGTCCCTGAGCAGATGCAATTCTAGCCGACTTCACCACAAAGCAGAGGTACCTTGCACAGACCCATGCTAGTCATGCATCACTTTTCTTTATATACCACTTCCTTTCAAACCACGAGGCTAAACTGAAATGCATCACCTTGCTGGGTAAAGATCTGGTTCTTTGGTTTCATGCAAGCCCTTATTCCCACATTTTACTACGCTGTGGCTTTAGACATCATTTGCACCAACACTACAGATTCTATGTTCCAGAATTTATGTTTTTTTTTTTAAAAAAAACTATTTTCATTATCTTCATTGTCAAAGTAAATAGTGTCAGTAGCTGGAATACAGAAGATTAAATGCCTTTCATTCCAATGAGTTTTCTTATTTAAAAAAAAAAAAAATTCACTATTTCATCTTTGTGGACAAAAAGGAGCAGCTAAGCTCTTCCTTACTACGTTATTGCAATTACTACTACTAGATTATTAGTCCTAACTGCTCTATCACTATGCATCTCTTTTAGCTGTATCAGGCACAGCGAAAGGTGGATTGTGCATACAAACTGTTTCCTAAAAAACCTTCAGGAACCTTGCACTGTGTAGCAGGACTGATTAGGCTATGACAAAAATGCAGGCATTACTGTATTTCAAGATTCAAATAAACTAAGCAGCTCATCCGCCAGAGTAAACCAGAGGTTAGTGATCTCTTGAAGATGCAGGAATACATATGGGCACCCATACATACACCAAGAGCATCCTGGACAGTTTATTCGAACATTACAGATATATCAATACTGAACAAACTCGTTGCATTTCACAAGGGCAGCTGATTTCATGCAAGTACTGCTAATTAGCAGCCCTACGATTTTCCAATTATAGTCGAGATCTTTGCCACTACTTCAAAAATGTATTTCACAAACATTTTTCCAGTATTGATGAATCATTTCAGAGTCTCTTCTCGGGTAAGTTTATCTTGGCTGAGCTGTTAAGGTAACTGCAGGAGTAGGTGAGAATAAGAACATGGCCACACTGTGCAGTCAGACACAAATCCACTGTCTGAAAGCTTTACCAACTGCCTCATCTGCCAAGAAGCTTACCAGCCCTTTGCCTGCCCTGTACACTCTAGCAGTAGGAGGAAGAAGATAAACCTAGGGAAAGTGCATATATTAACTATGAAAAGCAGCACCTAGCAATCAGACAACAGTGTGTGATCTCAAAGTCCAAACTCTCCTTCCACTAAGGTCCTTAACATTTTGTCCTGCTTGAAGATGAAAAACTGGCATAAGCAGCACATAAATTTATTTTTACTTATTATAAACATTTAAAGAAAGATTCCCCATCATTAAAAGAAAAGAGAAATCTTATTTTTTGGTCTGCTGGAAGGAAGAAACAGGATGATGACTACTTCAGGCAAGAACAGTAGTTAAAAGATACTCTCCTTTAGTGGCAGAGCTAGCTGAAGTAAACCTTCGATACAGATCTGAAGTGTTAAACAATAGCCTACCCTGCAAAGGTATGCTCTTGCATAGACTGCAACCAGTGGATCTCCAATTCCTCTAATCATAGATGTTAACCGTGGGAGACATTCTGAAATCCCCCTGTTAAGATTTTTCAGAAATGAAAATGAGATTTAACAATTGATAACAGAATTATATCACCTACAAATAACTTCAGTAGCTGCCTTGTAGATTGACAATTGAGCGTGAATTATAGAAACATCCACCAAAGAGGAAGCATACTAGCACAAAATTTCATTTCAGAAGTAAAATTTTATTTTATTTTAAAATTTTATTGTAACACATATCCTATATTCAAATTGCAGTATTGGCCATTAGGAGCAGCACAGATAGCCAGGTTGGGTGCTTGGCTTGTAAAAGACAAGCAGAATTAAAAAACTCCTCCTCCAGTTTGGAGGAACAGCAGAGCTATAGGAGGGCTGTAATTCAATGTGAATAAAGTAGCTGCTTAAAGCAGAACTATTTGTATGTCTTATTTTCCCACAGGTCCTTTTTGACAGAGCTGTACTAGTGCCTGGAGATGAGACCCATCAATTCCAGTGAAAGAACTGCTTTTTAAGGATAATGAAGTTGTCACTAGAGTAGCAATTCGGCTTAAAACAGTCATTTCAAAATATAACTGAAAAAGGATGAGAACACGTGAAGAAACATTTTCAGCTCAGCAAGTGGCACTGTTTGGCAACATAAGAAGCTTATACCAAAATTTTCCATAGATAATGGTTCACTGCTCCTACATTGTTTCTCCAGCTCTGTCTCTAGCAATACAACACATCAATATATTCCTTTCAGTTTTCTATCCAGTCTTTCTGCCACACTCCTCATCTCAACAATCTGAAGCCACTGGTTTTTAATTTGAAAACTCCTGATATCACAATTATACATATATTCCAAAACTGCAAACAGTATTGCATTTCAAATTGTATCACAGTTCACCTTGAATTTTTTCCATGGCATTCTCACTAAAAACTCCAAAACCTTTCAGTACTGCTTCTTCTCAGATCAATTGAGATCCTATCCACCATTAATCACAGAACTTGCATGCTTATCTCCTTAAATTAGTTCACAAGCCTGCCCATTCCCTTCTTCCCATATTTAACATTTACTCTTACGTTTTGGATAGGAACTTATTGCACTTCAGTATTGCTGCTTCCACATAACTAAAATGAAACCAAGTTAAGGAACAAAACTAACATACATGCCGTTTAAAAACACAAAACCAAACTTACATACCAAATACACATTGAATGAACTATTTCAAGGCCTTCTGTAATTAACCTCACAACACTTAGTTGATTTTTACAATTCATCTACAAGATTTTTACTTTTTCAAAAGTTTTCACACATCAACTCTACTTCATCGCTGCCATGCTGCTCATATCCAACAATTCAGCACTCAGTTTACTAGAAACATGACTCAAAATTAAATTCAAAACATACAGCCTGAAACAAACAAAACAATGTCAGTATAAACATCAGATTGCTGTGGGTTTTATTGAAACAAACACATTTGGTTTTGGAAAAGTCTACGAAAAACCCACAGTCACACTCCGAGAGTCTCATTTGACAAGGATACAATCTGGGAATGAGTTCTCTGATTGAAGCAATCTTGAAAAACCAGTTTAAGCAAGTTTCTTTAGCAGTATCATTAACACTCTCCGGTGAAAAATTATCTGGGGAAAAAAAAAAAAAAAACAAAAACCATCCAGAAATAGTTACATTCTTTGTGGAAACAAGTTACTTTTCATTCTAGGTTTAAAATCCTATTCTCTTTCAACAGGAAATTAGGCTCATCAGAATAAACTAGGCAGTAAGTTTGCTTCTCAGCTCCCCGGCGCAGCAGGAAGAGCCAAGTACACGCACAGCAAGAAGAGACTAAAGCTTCCATCTCACATCAAGTAACGTTTCAAAAGCTGAAGTGAAGCGCTCACAGCTAATCTCAGATCCGCTACTTAGAAATCTCACCTCTGCCTCCCCACAAAAGCAGAAATTGTAAAAAAAAAAAAGAATCTATAATGAATACATGTATATAAATCTATAACAAATACATACATATAAAGAAATTTAAGCCCTGAAATTCTTTACTTTAAAAGACTAATACAATTTTTAAATAATATTATTTAAAACCATATTGCAAGAAGTAGGAAATCTTGAACGCTGACAGAAGACTTGTTTTTGTACACTAAACATCTAACGCTGCAGCTCATGAGCTCTGGGACTATTTGTGTCAGCTGCCAGCAGCAAAAAGCTGCCACCCCAGGACGGAACAGATGGGTTAGGGGGACAGTGCTCTGGTCAGGCAGGCATGTAGTTGCATGGCTAACTGCCTCCTCTTTCTCTAGGTTGCCTGCAGCAGAAGGCAGAAGTGAGCTTCTTGGGATCAACCCCAGTCTGAGGCAAGATGGTTGGGAAGGATGGGTCCCTCTTCTCTCAGTGATAAAGCTTCTGCTGTGAATGTGTGTTTATGAACTCCTTGTGAAACAGTTTTAAAATACCAGTGCTTTCCCATCCCTGCTCCCAGAAGGTGAGAAGCTCCTGCTCCACAATAAAGTTTCCAACTTCCAAGACTAAAGAAGCCACACACTAGATGCTGACTAAGTACAGGAAGACATTCTTTCTCATCTAGGACCACGGGAGTTCTTGTCCAACTTTGTTTTGTTTTACTTTCAGAAAACAGCATATGCCAAGAAAAAATAAAAGGAAAAAGTCTTCGTTCATCACATTTTATTATACCTTAGGTATATTCTTCACAGCTAAAATGTAAACTTGCATAAACACTGTGAATGATGGAAGCTATAAGCAATGGATTTTACTCTGTTAAAAACCAAAAATTACTAGATTCAAATCAGAACTTTTTCCATAGGAGATACAGTAGCATGGGTCCTGTTTAACCTTTCTCAAGTTAGCTCAGACATGATTTTTCCCAGTAGCTCAGTAGAAACAAACGTGAAGTTACCTGGCAGAGTGACACGATTGTCCACGCACATTGACAGAATTCTTTCATACACTAGTTTCCCTGTTTAAAAAAAAAAAAATTAAAAAATTATTCATAACAAACTAATGAACTGTAAAACACCAAAACATAGAATCATAGAATGGTTTGGGTTGGAAGGGACCTTTAAGATCATCTAAATGTTAATACAGAGGTTTCCTCTCCAAGATACATTGAAATTAGCTGGAAAAAACCTTCCTCAAACAGTAACGTTACACTGCCCTCTAGTGAGGCTGAAATGTTAAATCTGAATTTAGCATTTCACACACTATAAAAAAACTCGTTCTGGCTCCCTTAAGAGCAGAAGTAGCACACAGGTCAGATTTCTCCCAGGCCAGGAAAGGACAGCTGGTGTCCTGTCTTTGCCGAGTTCGGGTATTATGTTATCTTCAGCAACTTTCGCTAAGTAGGAAAGAGCACAAAGAGGAAGCAAGACCTGAAAAAA